AGGTCTAGAGTGGCTGGGTGGCCGGGGTGCCACAGTTGCAGACTGTGGACTGGCCTCCTGAGCGGGGAGCTCTGGTTTTCCTCTGTGAGGCTAGCTTCCGGGTCCAGGTGGGGTGGGTCTGGGCGTCCTGCAGGCCGGTGGAGCTGTCCGTGAAGCAGGCTTGTGTGGGGGAGAGAGCCTGGGAGGGAGTGGGCGCGAAAATAGGGACTCCCTGTGAAAGCAAAGGCAGCCAGTTGCCCCAGAAGGTCAGGGAAGTGATGGGGGACTGGTGGGCAGAGGATGGGAGGGGCTGCAGGGCCCCGGCTCTGTGGGACAGAGGTTGTTTATGAACTGGCTGCTCCCGTGATGAGGACCCACTGGGTGGGGCAGGATGCATGGAAAGAGGGGAGGGGCCATTTCTGTCACCCCTGCCCCAGTGCAGAAGGAGGCAGCCTCCCACCGGTCCCTCCAGGAGAGACTGGACTGGAGCAGCCCTTTGGGGTTTCTGATTTGCCTCTGGGGCCCTGGTTAGCCCACTCTCTGGCTTGAGAGACATGCCTGTGGCCTCCCTTTGCCTGCTGAGTCCTGTGCCATTAAAGGGCTGGCGGGAGGCTGAGAGAGAGCAGTGGGTGGGAGAAGCTGGAATATGTGGGAGAGAGCGGGGAGCTGTAAAGATCTGGGTGGGCTCTTTGTCCTCATGGGCAGAGGACAGGTACATGTGGAGCCCTGAAATCCAGCAACATCGTGTGCCCCCGACCTCGACACCCTCACCCCAGGAATAGATCCTTGGAGAATTCTCTCCATCAGGCAAGAAGTCCTAGGCCTTGTGATTTGGGGGGGACTCTCTAGGATGGGGGTCTCCAGTTTCAATTCCCTACTCAGCCACACCCTGTCCTGGTCCCCAATGACTGATTGATCATGTCAGTTGGATAGAAGTCGGTGCCAGAAGTCATGGTGAAGCTGAAGATTAGAGGTCGATATGAGGTCAAGGGCCAGGGGTCATCAGTCCGCGGGCAAGGATGGGTCAGTCCATGGGCAGGGTTAAGGATCTGTGTCTGTGGGTAGGTAGGGGTCAGGTTGGGGCCAGAGTTTAGCCTGTGCTTGTAGTCAGGAAATGAAGTTACTTTCTGTGTAAATCAAACTGCCCCACCCAATGATTCTTAAACCCAAGCAGCAGTAATCTGAAATTAACAGGCCCCTGGGACAGCGTCTTCCTCACCCCATTTCCAGCCATGGACTCTGCGTAGACATACAGCTTTTGGGAGTAGCGGTGGTCCTGAGCCCCATGTTCATCATTCTCCTTCAATAGTTCTGAGTGTGTGTGCATGATGGGGGAGAGGGGGCATGTCCTGAAGACAGATGGTGCTGCCACCCCCTCCACCTCCACCTCTCAAGGAATCAGCAGGATCCTCCTTTTTTAAAAATATATTTTTTTATTGATTTCATAGAGGAAGGGAGAGGGAGAGAGAGATAGACACATCAATGATGAGAGAGAATCATTGATCAGCCCCACCCTGGGGATTGAGCCCACAATCCAGGCATGTGCCTTGTCCAGGAATCGAACCCGGACCTCCTGGTTCATAGGCCAACGCTCAACCACTGAGCCATGCCAGCTGGCAGAATCCTCCTTCTTTAACACAAATTGATTCCGGTCTTCCCTCCCTCCCTAAAGAATGAAGCATGACTAGAATAAACTCTCAATCAGACCAAAAGCTTCTAAGAAGAGAAATTCAGAATACACATCATGAAGGGAAAGAATACTACTCACGTCTGTCCAACTCCCTGCCTTTTGTCAACCACCTACTTTTTAAAAAACATATTTTTATTGATTTCAGAGAGGAAGGGAGAGGGAGAGATAGAAACATCAAATGGCAGCCTCCTGCATGTTCCCCACTGGGGATCAAGCCGCCCTTGACTGGAATCGAACCCGGGACCCTTCAGTCCCCAGGCCGAAGCTCTAGCCACTGATCCAAACCGGCCAGCGCTCAACCACCTTTTTTTTACCTCAACTTGATCTTCACCCTTCAACCCCCTGTTTGACCCATTTTGCAGAAAAATCACCAGGGCAGAGAGGCAACCAGGATACACTCCACCCAGATGCCATAATAGGTCCTTGCCAGCCCTGAGACACCAGTGTAAGGCACTCAGTGAATCACGCACTCAGAAATGAAAGGTAACTGGACCAGCTTCAGACAGCTGGCGAGATTATAGGCACTCAATTTAGATGTGGAATCCAGCTTAGAGTGACGACTCCTAACTCTTTTTTCCTGGTGGTTCTAGAATCTAGATTGTTTCTCCTCCAGGTATAATCGCCTTGGTCCAGAAAACCCATCCATTCATTCAACGAAGTGTTTCTCCGGCACTTAGTTCAGAACTTGGCACAAAGAAATGCTCAGTAAATTTTTGCTGAAGAATTGAAATGACGTACAAATAGGGCTGCCAGCTTCTCCTTTGTGGCCTAGATCCACTGTGTGCTGGTAAATGTTTTACAGTCAACACTACAAAAGGGAGAAAACCCTGATTTGTAGTGTTTGCCAATTTCTGTGATGTAAATGCTCCCACCATGGCTGATTTCAAGCTACCAATGTGATGTCAATGAATGTGGAATTGGGAAGAGATGCAGAGAATCTGCTTTTGCCAGCTGGTGGGAATCAGCCCCAGCAGCCACTCCATCACCCTGAACTGGGCTCCTGTCCCTGGCTCACTAAGCCTGTACACACCCCATCTATTTGCTTTCCCTTTCTCAACATCTCTGTGCTCTGTGAACGCCCAGGACCCGCCCCTGTCTTTCCCCCTGATTCTGATTCCTGGATATCCAACTTTGCACCTCCAATGATAGCAGGATTGAATGTATCTGGAAACCTCCATGGTGCTGGCCATGTGGGATGATCCTGGACATGCCTGGATGTCTGTGCATGACGGGGCTGAGTTGTGTGAACTGTGCATTAGTAAGGATGTATATGTGCATGTGTGTGGGGTGGGGGGCGGGATATGACAGTGCCCACCTGTGTCTGTTGGTGTTCTAGTAGCAAAACTTCCTGGCTACAGAGAGGGAGTGGGCTCTGGGCAGCTCCCCTTAAGCTTTTTGCTCCTCCGAGTATTGCCCATACATCAGCTCCTGATCTCAGCCACCTTCCTGGAAGTGCTAGCTCCATTCGCCTACCCTCTGCTCTCTCCTCACCTAGGCTTACCTGACTCCCACCCCTTCTCGTCATTCCACCCAAGTGCAGCCCTGGGCCATTCACACAGTTGTTTCCAGTCTCATCTAACAACTGAGATGCCATGAAACCACAGCAGGCATCTAGGTCTCCTCGGCCAGCCCCCCTTCTGGAGTCAGCCTTTTTGCGGAGGGTCCTTCCCCTTCCCTTCCCCCACTCTGCTTTCTGCCAGTGACCCCCAGACACACATCTCCACCTCAGCTTCTCCCTGACCTCTAGAGCATATGTCCTCTGGCTCTTCTGGCAGTTCCTGAACTCCAGCCAGAACACTGCCCCTTGCGCCCTGCAGGCCTGTGTCTGTGGGTAGGGTAAGGGTCAGGGGAGCTTGCCCTTCTCCAGTGTTCTCCATCTCACCACCCATCTGCCGGTTTGAATCAGATACTGTCATCCTTGACAACTTCTTCCTAATCCCCATATCCAATCCTGCCACCTCCATCAGCCCTGTTGGTTTGAACCTCTAACTTAATTGTACCTACTTCTGTTTCAAGATACACAGCCATGAGCATCATCAGTCACCTGGAGCCCTGATTGGGCTTCTGCTTCCGTACTGTCCCACTGCAACCCGCACCCCCATGCAGCCAGAGGAACTTTTAAAAACGCAAATCCAGTCATGCCCCCACTTCCACTCTGCCACTTCAAAACTTTCAAGATTGCCCAGCCAGTGTAGCTCAGTGGTTGAGCATCAACCTATGAACCAGGAGGTCACGGTTGAGCCCCGGTTGGGGCATATACCATGGTTGTTGGCTCAATCCCCAGTGTGGGGCCTGCAGGTGGCTGCCGATCGATGATTCTCTCTCATCATTGATGTCTCTATCTCTCTCTCTCTCTCTCCCTTCCTCTCTGAAATCAATTTAAAAACTATATTTTAAAAAACGTTCAAGATTTGCTGTTGCCCTTTATTTAAAACCAAATCTGAAATAGGGTCCGCGAGGGCCTGCCTGCAGGGCCGGGCCAGGCCAGCCCAGCCCCTCTCTCCAGCCTTACCATGCTCTCCTCTCTGCCGCGCTTGTAACCAGCTGTGACCTTGACTGCATCATTTGTAACCTCAAATCCACTTGGGTGTTTATCTGATTATAAGCAGTTCCCCGCCAGGTGTGGGCCCCTGGGCCAGAGACAGTGTCTCTCTGGGTCTGTCTCCGATGTCCCCCAGCACCTGGCACAGAGTGGGCACCAAAAACATTCAGGACCATCCTGATTCCAACAAAGCTACTGTTAAAAAAAGACCTTTTTGAGAAAAGCTGGGACGGTGGACTGAGCATTAGAAGAGATTAAGGAATTAATTTTGTTGCACATGATAATGGTGCCGTGCAATGCTTTTAAAAGTCTATCTGTTGGAGAGACATATTGAAGAATTTATAGGTGAAACAACATGGTGTCTGGTATTTGCTTCAGAAGACTCCAGCCAGCCGAAACCGGTTTGCCTCAGTGGATAGAGCGTCGGCCTGCGGACTGAAAGGTCCCAGGTTCGATTCCGGTCAAGGGCATGTACCGGGGTTGCGGGCACATCCCCAGTGGGAGGTGTGCAGGAGGCAGCTAATCGATGTTTCTCTCTCATCGATGTTTCTAACTCTCTATCTCTCGCCCTTCCTCTCTGTAAAAAGTCAATAAAATATATTTTTTTTTAAAAAGACTCCAGCCAGAAATAAATAAATAAAACAAGTAAGCATTCCATGAGGGAACAAAGGAACGAATAAATGTCATTTGTATGTCTGTTCCTGTTCACAGCCTCGGGGCCTGCGAAGATGCTGGCTGTCCCGGAGCTGGGCCTGCAGGGGCTGTACATTGGTAAGAATCCCTCACCTCTGCCCCCACCCACCCTCCACTTGCCCTTGTCTGGATAGGGGTGCCTCTCCCAGAAGTTCCTGAGAGTTTATGTGTGTACACACAGGACTGTGTACGTAAGTGTGTGTGTTTGTGCACGCTTCACTCCTGTGTGCACACAGAACATATCTGTTTATGGGACCGTGTGTGTGTGTGTGTGTGTGTGTGTGTGTGTGTGCAGGGGCGGGAGGCCAGGAGGCAGGAGGGACACTCCTCAGGAAGTCCACTCACAAAGACCTGGTGGGCTGGGCCTTCCTTCCTGCCTCCCTTCCCAGGCTCACGCCACACAGCGCCTTGGCCCTTCAAGCTAGAGCTGGCGGCAGGGCCTAAGCCTGTGCTGGTCACCTGAGGAAAGGGAGCTCTGAGGGTGTGACCAAAATGCCCTGCCTCTCCAGCACCCCAAGACAGTCTCCAGCCCTGTCCAGGCACTTTTTAGAGTCCCCCTCATTTCCTGCCCCTCACATATGTTCCCAGGGTACCCAAGGCCAGAAAGGGCTGGGAGCTGTCAGGGCCACCGCCAGGGCAGCCGCTGAGGGAGCACAGGCCCTGGGCCCCGGCCCAGCCTGAAGCCAGACAATTCGCTTTGTCCATGGGTCTTTATGCCAAACTCCATCAGCCCCTCATCCCCATGCCTGATCTCAGGGCAGCCCCAGTCCTCCTCACAGGAGCCCTAGGAAAGCCCAGAGTGGTGGCGACAGGCCACCAGCCCACACCTGGGGGATGTCTAGCAGACAGACCCCTGGGCTGCCTGAGCCTCTGAGCCAGGCTTTGGGCTGCCTTCCGGGGCTGTGCTGCTTCCTTCCACTGAAGGCCCAGCTCAGTCCTGGGCCTGTGAGAGAGGCTCACTGGGGCCCCATGCCCCCCAATGCTGGCTCCACCTGTATGTGTTGTTGTGGGGGGTCCGGGGGATGACTTGGGCTTCACTTCCTATTTTTGTGGACACCCCTCAGCTCAGGGCTGGGCTGGGGCGGTGCTGCCCTGCCTTGATCCTCACAGGCAGCCAGCTGGACCTGTCTTTGGCCCTTGGCGGGAGTCCTGGGTATACTGGTTAATAATGCGGATGTTTTTCAATAGATGAAGTTACACATATGTTGATATGTATGCGATTTGATATCTATGCTATTTTGTTGTATTGCTCCTTCAGATTACCACTTGTTCCGGTCGATGGCACACGCACTTTCTGAGCAGCACTTCAAAATGTACGAAGAAGTGGAAAATTGGGTCTCTGAATGGTTTGCCTCAAAACAAAAAAAGTTCTATTGGCAATATTAACCGGTTAATAGCCAGTCTGCATTATTAACGGTTAATACAGATTTTGTAATCAGAGAAAATACGATAATTTCAAGAGAAACATCAAAAGTGCTTTATTCAAAGTAATGTCCATCGCTAGCTACACATTTCCCCATCTTTCAGGTAATTTGTGGATACCGCCCCAATAGAAGTTTTCTTGTTTTGAGGCAGACTATTCAGAGACCCAATTTTCCACTTCTTCGTACGTTTTGAAGTGCTGCTCAGAAAGTACGTGTGCCATCGATCGGAACAAGTGGTAATCTGAAGGAGCAAGGTCTGGTAAATACGGCGGGTGGGTTAATACTTCCCAGGCAAGATCTTTTAACGTGTCTTGACTAGTAGAAGGGGGCTGCTCTCTCAGGTTCTGAGAACCATGTGGCTGAACTCTAGGGGGAGGGGAGCAGTTAGGTCTGTAGCTCCCCCACCTTTCCTGGTTTCTTCACCTTCTACCCCACCCCAGGCAGGAGCTCACCCACCCCATCTCTCCTGCTCTTCTATCTCTGCACTCAGTCTGCCCCCACATACGCTGCTTCTCAGTCTTTCCGCCCCGCCCCCCGTGTCTGAGGGGTGCTGGGGGAGATGAGGAGTCCCCAGGTGAGGCATGGGTCATCCTCCAGGGATGGTCACCTCTAACCAATAATAAGCCCTCAGCCTGCTCCTGCCTCAGGTGTTCTTGCTCAGTCTCGTCCTTCCTCCCCTCCCACCCATCCCCCTTCTTCTGCAGGGCACCCCTGCCTTGGCCCAGCAAGGACCGATGGGAGAACCTCCCAGGCCTGGGACCCAGCTGCCAGCCCCCTACCCTGATTGTGCCACAATGTCTTCCCCTCTCTTTGCAGGCTCCAGCCCAGAGCGGTCCCCCATCCCCAGCCCACCCGGCTCCCCAAGGACCCAGGAAAGCTGTGGCATTGCCCCCCTCACACCCTCGCAGTCTCCCGTAAGCCTGGCGTGGGCATCTGGGTGGTGGGTGTCCAGAGTGGTGTGGAGGGGGGTTGGTGCTCCAGAAAACAAGACCTGGAAGGGCTGGGGCAGGGCTGGGGGTACCACTGTGCCTCCTGCCCCAGCACACCCCAGTCATGCTCTCTGCAGAAGGGTTACCCTTATGTGACCTTGCACTTAAGGGGTAACAATTCTATTGAGGTGAGCCCCAGTACTAACACCCAAATACCCACTCCAGGATGACATCCAGGGGCTATTGCAGCTCACCTGCCGGGGGCAGGCGTATTTCTGAGCATATGGTTTTTTCAGGGTCTGCACTGGCCCTCCCGGGGCTACCCCGCCCCCCTCCTGTCCAGTATAGCCCCACCTGAGGAAGAGGAGACATGCTGCTAAAAAATCCAGAGTTTGGAAATTACTAGTTTCAACTATCCAGGACATAACCCTCCCCCAAGCTCGCTGGGTCATCTCACCCCAGACAGCCTCACCCACATTATCGAGCCTGGGGGCCCCTTTGTTCTCAGGGAGCCAGGCCTAGGAGAAGGCAGGGGCCACTCTGGGCACGTGCACGAGGCCTCTCCCGTCTGCCACAAAACCGACAGTCTGGTTGTGTCACTGTGGCCACAAAGAGCAACAGGGTCGAGTATACACACAGGTCCATGTGCTGTGAAGCTGCCAGGAGGAGCGTAATTGCTCCCAGCTGGACCCGGGCTGTGACATGGTGTGAGATGGGGGTGGGCTAAGGCTGTGCAGACCGAAGGTGGGCAGAGAACCAGGAGCCAGGAAAACAGGAGCTTGAGCTAAAAGCCGCGCAGGGCTGCCTGAGAGGCAGCTGGCGTCTCCAGGGATCAGCCTGGAGCCCGGGAAGGGAGGGGAGCCCAGGCCGGCAGGTGGGAGGAGGTGAACCAGTCAAGAAAGGGGGTGGGGGCTCCCATGTACACCCAGCCTGGCCCTTGGGCTGCTCCCTAACTCTAGGCCTTGCACTTGCAGAAGCCTGAGGCCCGAGCCCCACAGCAAGCCTCCTTCTCTGTGGTGGTGGCCATCGACTTCGGTACCACTTCCAGTGGCTATGCCTTCAGCTTTGCCAGCGACCCTGAGGCCATCCACATGATGAGGTGAGGGCCACGGGGCTCTGAGATTGGGTCGGGGGAGAGGGGTTGGGCCTGGTCCCAGAAGTACTGTCACTGAGGCGACATGGGGTACCCTCAGAGGTCCTGCCACCCCAAGTCTGGGCTCCCCTCTGGGGTTAAAGTTTGGAGGATGGCCCTTGGCCTGTGCCCCCAGCCTCCACTGGAGCAGTTCCCTGCCCTCTGCCGGAAATGTTGGGCTTTATTTTTAATTTTAAAACATTTTATTGAGATATAAAAAACATACAGGAAAGTACACAAATATCTGGCTTGCTTACAAACACATACTAGTACACACATATATGTATGAATATATGTGTGTATGTGTGTTTTAAATAAAAATGGAATATCATACAATTTGCCTTTTTTATTTTTTATTGATTTTAGAGAGAGAGGAAGGTAGAGAGAGAGAGAGAGAGAGAAACATCAATATGAGAGCATAACATTCATCGACTGCCTCCTGCATGCCCCCTGCTGGGATTGAACCTGAAACCCGGGCATGTGCCCTGACCAGAATTGAACTGGCAACCTTTTGGTACATGAGATGATGCCCAACCAACTGAGCTCACTGGCCAGGGCCAATTTGCCTATTTTAAACTTTCAACACTATTCTGTAGACATTTCATGTCAATACATAAACCTACCACTTTCTTTTTAACAGTTGCATAGTTTTTCCATAGTATGGATGTTTCAAAATTTATCCATTATTCTACTGATTGTTTGTTTGTTTACTTGTTTTGGGGGGTCTCTAATTTTTCACTATTACAAAAATAATGCTGCAAAGAATCTCCTTCCTTGAAAACTTGTGCTGAGATTTCTATGGAGTAGATTGCTAGAGGCAGATTCCTAGGTCTGACATCTCAAATGAAATACAAGGACATGAAGGACCAGAGGGCTAACCGAGTTGACACAAGTCACACAGTTGTTATGAAAGAGATGGTCAAAAAATCCATCCTGATGTCGAGTTTTAGTTGAACAAACATTTCTTTAAACACTCCCTGCAGCCCTGCAGACCCTGATCCTTAGAGTGTGTCTTAGTGGGGCTGCAGCCAATAGGTGGAGCTCTAGAAGACCCCAAAGCTCCCAACTCAGACTGGAATGGGGGATCAGACACTTCCCCAGGGCCCCGAAGGCTGGATGGAAGGGTGGATGGAGAGACCGATAGTCAGGTCCCTGCCTCACAGGTACAGGGACTTGACCTTCATGAGCCTGGACTATTGTTCCCCTTTCTCTGCTCCCACATGAAGCCACAACGGCTCTGAGCACTCACAGTCCCCTAGGGTCAGCACACGGCAGCTGAGGCCACGCTGCGCCCCATGCTGGAGCCAAGGACACATGAAGGGACACTGCCTCTGTCCTGTGGAGGTGACAGTCACAGGAAGTCACTGGGGGACGTCCTGGCCTCCTCCCAAGCCTTCCCCACCCCTACCAGCCACCCAGTCCCATCACTTCTGTCTCCTTACTATCTCTATAGTACCCATCCACTTCTCTCCGCGGCCACCACCCTCTCTCACCTGGATGGTTTTTATTCTCTGCCCTCCCTCCCCTCCAGGCTGTTGATACATGGTGACCTGTCACCTTTCTCAAGGCCACTGTGATCATGCCTCTTCACCCCCCAACCTAACCCCCAGCAAGAGAGAATTCCGATACGGCATTTGATGTTCTTTAGCTGACCTTAACACTCCTTTCTTTTCTCCTGCTGCATTTTGAGCTAACCTACAGCTAGTTCTCCTGTTCTTTCACATTTCTAAGCGTTGGCACATACTGTTATTCTACCTGGATTCCCAGTACCTTCCCCAAAGGGGAAGCGTGGCCTAGAGGAGTCAGGAAACCAGGGAAGATCTCCAGGTCAGAGAACTGGGCAGGGAGTTCTGGGTGGAGGTCTGCGTGTGCCTGTGAATAAGGAGGTTTGGAATGGCATTCAGGTTTTGGGGGACCTGGCAGAGGTGCAGTCAGCTGGGGTATTGCTGCTGAGGTGGGTCAGATAGAAATGTCATGACTACCTTAAAGGAGCTTGGCTGTGGAGGACGGCCCTGAGCGAGGCGAACTAGCTGGCCGGGAGAAGGCCTCTGCTAGAATGCTGGAGAGACACATGAGGAAGCCAGACCCAGGCAGATGGATGGATGATGGCCTGCTGCTCCGTGTTAAGGGTGCAGGGAGACAGGTCAAATGACGAAGGGAACCCAGAATGCCGGGTGCGTCCCGTAACCCCATGAATAGGGAGGATCCAAGAGCAGCATTCATGGAGATTTAACTGGATTCCAAGCACCATCTTTCTTTTCACAAGAACCCTAAGAGGCAGGTACTGTTATTATTCCCATTTTACAGTAGGGAAGACTGAGACTGGGAGCGGCTAAGTGGCCTGCTAAGGTCACACAGCTCACCCCAACGCCGTTATCCAACCCTCCCCCCCCCCAAGTGAGGGTTG